GACTGAATTCTTAGGTGTAAACAGGTACTGTAAAACTCTTGTATTTGTATAGTGGCATTGTTGTATATTTATAACTGTTATAGGTACGCAAATGTATATTCCAAAAATACGAAAGGCCTTACTGGTTATAATATATGATTTAGATTGTATAACTCACCAATCTCAGTCTTAGAGGCTTAAACTACCAAACTGGTTGTTCCAATTGTCGTAGATTCCGAGTTCGTTCTGAGAAACCGAAGGCCTTACTTCTTGCAATGCATCTTTAAAGTCCTGCATCATGACGAAATTGATAAAACAGAGACGGAAACAAAAAGACTGCTTTTAGCGACATGTGTATTGACAGATTTTAGCATACCGTCAATTGAAATATAACTCCAAAATATGTAAAAAAATCGTCATTTTCTGTTATTTACCTGAAGAGTCACAAGACGCATGTCATCTTTTGTCAGGTTAGTTATTTCTATGCCTCGTTTGAGAGCTTCCCTTAATGGACCCATAGTTGCATCTTTCACCAGGTTCTTCATGTCTGATCCCGAGTACCCTGCAGTGTATAGTATAGAAACCTAGCATGAGTATATTTGCATTTTTGGGTTGTTTTCTTGGGACTGTTAAGAACAAAACTGCACAAATTTGCCAACAATTCTATTTTGTGTCCGAGTTCCTACGATAAATTTACCTTCAGTTAGGTTGCATATGATGTTCATATCATCTTCCGACAGTGTAAATAACCCATCTTTCTGTAGGAGATTCTGTATAATCCAGGCTCTTGCTTCTTCAATTCAAAAACAGAACCATTTCAAGATGGTATTTTTGAACAAAAGCAGGGAATGACGTGAAAAATGCACTTATTTTTCTGACCAGATGAAGGAAGAGGAATGTAGAGTCTCTTGGTAAGTCGTCTTCTTGCTGCTTCATCGAGCTCTTGGGGTCTATTTGTTGCTCCTGACCAAAAAAAAAAAAACAGTTAACAACATAGAGTACTCTCATAAAACCCACAAATCTCAAACCTGCTTGTTCCAGTTTTTACCTATTAGGAGAATTTGCTCGCTGCCGCTGTCAAAACCTTCCATTTCAATCAGGAATTGTGTCTTGAGCCTTCTACTCGATTCATGTTCACCATCTGACTTACGCTGTCGCAAATGGTGAAAGTTTGTTTCTTTTAGCAGAATGTTATATTAGGAAACCAAAACTGCTAAAACATTAAACAACCAGAAATTGTCCTTAGTGAGAACCACCCTTCGTATATTTGGTTCCAGGCCATTTTCTATGCTAATAGAATTGGGGACTTATCAACATATAAAGTTTTGAGAGATTACAACAAACCTGAGATAGTAAAGAGTCTATTTCGTCTACAAATATCACTGCAGGCTGACGACAACTTGCTACTCCAAATAGTGCCCTCACTAGCTTTTCTCCTTCGCCAATCTGCATTTACACACAGGTAAATGTAAAATTTGCAGATTAACCGTGCACAAATGAAGACACATAAAATAGTGATCTGGAGCAGGAAGAAGATAACGGCTTTTCATGCTTCGTAGAAGTTCTGGCATAGCGGAACCGTATCATTGTCCTAATTTCACAAATATCCCCATGACAAAATGCAAAGATAGGGAACTAACCCACTTGCTTGTCAATGAACTGGCTGATATATAGAAAAAGGTTGCTTTTGCTTCTCCAGCTATAGCTTTTCCAATCATCGTTTTACCAGTTCCCTGGAATGCAGTAGATACAGATCTAAGAAACACAAACAAAGTGAATCTTCAATATTGAAATGGACAAGGGTACCTACTGGTGGACCAAAGAGAAGAAGTCCTTTTCCAGGTGAACGACATCCTTTGAAAATATCAGGACGTAACAATGGCCAAATGACCATCTCTGTTACACATTTTTTAGCATGGTCGAGACCAGCTGCAAAGCAATAACCCATGATGAGAAACTCCAGATGCAAGCGGGATAATACACACTGCAGTGAAACATGTTTTTATCATCTTACTGTACCGATATCATTCCAGCGGACATTGGGGTCTCGATCCATAATCTCGTTGCTAACATGCTCTATAAGACGAGGTTCCAAGTTTCTCAATTTCTCTGGAAGCTCACCATCAGGACCGCAGAGCATCTCCAAACTAGAACAGGATAGAAAATAAATGAACATGGATGATCTTTTCAGTCTTGTAGGCATTGCCATCAAGAACGAGGCTACTCTAAGCAAGAACGAGGGCCTAGCCATCAGATAAGTATAGAAACTTAATATTACGAGGATGTTGACAGGAATAGCTTATACACTAAACACTACACATCCAATTGAGTTGCACCATGAACAAGCGACCAGGAATAGTTTTAACAAATGTAATTTGTCTTCTAGTCCTATTGACGTGCATGTACTATTGTTGAATCACATTCCATAGTGTTTCAATGTGAAATAAGTACAAAAGCAAATGTTTATTATAGAAACTTAGTTAGAGAAAGGCAGAATCAAGCATGGCCAAGTTAGGTGAATACCAAGAGCTAGTGCCAAGAAAAACAGAGAGAATACACTTATCAATTGTACAAACTCAAAAGGTGTCAAAGACCTCGAATCATAAATTAAAGAAGTTACAGAACTTACCATGTTCTGGTTGAGTCCTCCAGTGCATCGTCAGTCTTTCCACCAATACGAGATGTCGTGTTTCCAACACTATTCCCATTAGATTTAACGGGAGGAACAAAATTACCACGGTATCCACGTCTCAAATACCCTCCCGGTTTTGAACCGTATCCCCTACCTAAAGCATTTTTTTCACCCTGCGGAGAAAGAGATGAATTCGGTGACCCGGCCGATCCTCGTCTTTGTCTTACGTCCATTTCCTAAAAAAAGAGAGATAGTAGTCAACATATGCAAATGGTAAACAAAGCACAGTTCGAAAGATTAAGCTCGGCAACATAAGAACTTTAAAGCATTTGATCATAGAGTTAAAGTTTAATATGGAAGACTCTAAGAGAAGAATAGTCAAAGATCCTTCTACCAGTTTTATTTTGGCAGTAACAAATCCATTAGCAGCTCCATCTGCCTTCATTTCCCCATCATTTTCGAGGCTGCTGATTTCTGCACGAGCTCGCTTCGTTCCAAAACCATGTCCATGACTTCTCTCAACAACGACGCATTCATCAGAAGCACTGTCTTGATTGTTCGTGGAAGTTTTACGCAGATTATCTGGTCTAGCCATGCTGTTTCCATATAATGATGTCAGCCTGGCTTGCACCACTGACTTTGATGCTTTGGGAATTTGCTTATGCGTATCCAATCGTTCTTCCTGAAACAAGAACACAAAAAGATCTCAGTTCTCAGTATAAACAGTAATTAGCAGGTGATCCTCAGATAAAAGGTCGTGATAATGCTTATAGAAAGCATAGTGGAAATACACAGGAAGCAAGGACATGTAATATGGCTGCATTTCCAAAACTCATCACTAATAGCGAGCTCATACAAGAAATGAAGCTGTTTACAAAAGCATTACCATCTCTTTAACGCCCTTTCCATTAGACTGGTGGAGAAGAGCACAAAAGTGTTTTGACTGCTTAATCTTTTCCACATAAAATTCGCCTTTGCTACCAAAAATAGGGCCTGGAGCTGTTTTTGCAAGTTCAAAAGCTTTCCTGGATACAGCAAGAAACAAAACATTAAAGAGTACTCCAAAAATTTCAAATGATATAGACGATAACTGAGCTTTAGGATTTCAGCTAGTAATTAGTGAACGAACTCCAAAGATTGGGGATATAGAGTAACCCAGATTTATACATTTTTCAGCTTCAACATTAACCAGATTTTTCAATTCCAACAGCGATTTTACCATAAATCAAAAAGACTTTCAATACCCAACAGTTCAAGCTACAGTCATAAGACTCGATTAAGCTCAGCCAGTAAAATTCAAACCAATATTGAAATGCTAAAAAAGGGGAAGAATCTCAGGTACCGATCCGAATCTGAAACGAGTCCTTCCAAAGCTGAATCGACCTTAGAGGCAACTTCACGGCGAATGGGATCGATGATAACACGATCGGCGTCTGTAACAGAGCGAGAATCGAGGAAACCTAGAAGACGAAGCCCAAGGATCTGGGCGGACGAGAAATCAGATTTCTCCAGGAATTGGTCGGCACCGAAAAGCAGCGATTGGAGTCGCTTTAGGTTATCGTCTACCTCTTTCCTCCAGCACAACGAATCCGTCTCTACTTCCTCCTTCACAGTCAGAAGCTGCGGTGGCTTCAACATCGGAGAAGAAAACGGCGACTGACGCTTTCCCGCCATTATTAACCCTCTCTAATTTTCTTCCTTTTTCNCGTCCCCAAAAATGGCCAAAACCCCAGAAAATGAAATTTCAAACTCCGCGTAAAACGTCATGCAGTGTAATAGCTCAGCGCATAAAACGTCATGCAGTTTAATAGCGTAAACCGGAAACGGTGTGTAGTTTCATCAGTTATCAGATGCTTAATGGGCCTACGTGCTTTTCACAAAATCTCGGCCCATCGACATCCATATATGAAGAATGAAGATTGACAAATTAACAACTATATTCGGATTTGGAATCACTCTAACAGTCGTTATATTTTCATGCTTAATCATTTTCAATCGGATCGTATCGTATTATTCGAATTCAACAAGCTTGTTATTTTCACACAAACGTGCATATGATATATTAAAAAACGACGAAAGACAATCCAAAACAGCGATTAAGTTTGAGCGTCTTGGGACGCTACAACTTTTGTTTATTCAATCACACACAAAAGCCAAAAGTTACCTCAGTTTTGATTTGCTCTAAGAGAAGACTCTCTTAAGCAATCATCACACAACAATTCAAAATAAAATGGTTGAGCCGAACGCCACAGCAGCGTTTAGACTCCTCCCAATGCAGCCCATCCTTGGCATCGGCGGACGGACGACACGTGTAAACCGACATAGTCTCGGGCCAAGACGCTCCCGCTGATGCTCCTATCACGAGCAGCTTGTCTCCAAGTGACTTGAACGCAACTCCCCATCCTCCATTAGACTTAGCTCTTACTGGCACATCCCCTAGCTTCTTCCAAGCGTTTGCGTTTGCATCATAAACGCGGAGCTCGTTCGCTGATGTTTCCAAAGAGTAGAGATGATCGCGAACCACGGCGATGAGCGGTGGAGATTGGACAGAAGAGAAAGACATGTCTTTGAGAAGATCCGGTATTAGTTCCCAAGTGTTTGTTCCCTCGTCGTAACGTTCTCCACAAGTTAGGTTTTTGTTGTTCTCATCCCGGCCACCGAGGACGTAAAACCTGCCGCGCAAGTAACACCCCGAGCAGAACTTCCGCCGCTTGTGCATTCCTTGGAGCAGTGTCCACGTTTTCGTCTCGGAGTTGTACTTCTCGACTTTATTCACTACTTCCACGGTTCCATTTCCGTTGGTTGTCAACCCGCCAGCTACAAACACAACAGTCCCACAGGTAGCGGAAGCGAACAAGATCCGCGGCGTGATCATTGCGGGACCTTTGAACCACTTGCTAGTCTCCAGCTCGTACCGCCACAGCGCAATGCTCTTCTCCTCTTTCCCAGTGACGATCAAGTGCGTTCCAGCGCAAAGCGATTCTTTATCTCCTCCAAAGAAGCAAATGTCGGAAGGAAGTTCAGGAAGCCTCTGACAATTCTCAAAGTCCTTATTAAACATCGTCCACCGTGTATCGCCACTCGACAGCATAAACACAGATGGTTCAACCACTCTGCGTTCTCGCCTCACCTTGAATATCTCACCGGTTTTTAACAAACGTGAAAACCGCTTATTAAGAAACTGGAGTTTCCAGTACTCAAAACGCGGTACACGCGCGAGAATCTCAACCTCCAGCTCGTAAACGAGCTGAGGAACGTTTAGTACATAATCTGCATCCTGAGGTTTCAAAACTACCACCTCTCCTGTTTCTTCCTCATCCCAATCCAAACAAGGATCTTCATTTAGATCCGGAATCTTGGAGCCATGAATCCGAAGCTTCCTCGGCCTAGACCTGCTCGAGCTAGCCCGGATTGTACCAGTGCGATCTTCTCCTAGCGTCAGCATTTCTTGGTTAAACCGCAACCTACTACGTTTTTGACATTCCCTCTGTAAAAATTTCAACCAAAAATAAAACTAACTCTGAATCAAACAGTGACACAATCCATTTATCTAGTTGTAAAAGCAGTTCTCAAGTTTTAATCTTTTTCAACAAAAACAACAAAGATTCAGACTTTTTAAGATTGAAAAGCAAAAATAATCAATCTTGGACTACTCAGATCGAACAAATTTGATTTGTAAGTCAAAACTGGAATATTCAACAAGATTACTTGTTATCATTTATGAATAACTTCACTTCTCTGTAAATTAGAAAAAGACAACAACAAAAAAATTAGCTAATCCGAGTTCTTACAAGGAGTTAAACAGATTTGATTAAGTCAAAACAAAACAGTGAAGAATGAAACTCCAAACCTTCAAATCAATAGTCTACAAGTAAAAAGCTTTGACTAAAATTACTGAAGA